GGCCGATATTCGCGGCAGAGATTCTTGCATGCTCATCATTATCTGTAGGAGCCTGTGCGGGACTGAGCCGCGAGCGAGTGTGGTGGTATCCGTGGCGTGGCGTGGCAGGCAGCAAACTTTGATTGATCTTCGCCGTTTAATGGCACTTTGTGTGGGAGAGCCTCAGAAACAGAGAGACATGTGTGAGGCAGGGGGGATAAGGGGTCCTTCGAAATCGTGGTGTCATCGAACAGACATGTTTTTTTCTCTCTCGCTTATCGGCCCTGATGCGGACTGCGGGAAACATCAGGCTTGAGATTTGCTTTTCAGAAATCTTGCTGCAAGTTGACTATTGCGGTATATGGACTGAAGTTTTGATTTCCATCTCGCAGGTGTTTTGGGTGATGGGCAAGTGTAAAAGTAAGGTGAGATCAAGTGTAGATATTCTCGCCTGTGCGGGTGCATGTGCATGGGTGATGTACTCCGTACTACGTGAGGTTTATCTCTCTTACCCTCATCTGTCTGCTTGTCTGGATGCATGTGAAATGTCCTTGCGAGCTTCAAGTCTGTGCTGCGCCGTGTGCTCTGTCCTTTTTCTCACCCTATCTCAATCTTCCTGTTGGATCTCCCTGTTGAATCTCTTTGGCGATAAGGTTCCATTTGGTTGTTGGTGTGTAAGCTTTCTAAACGGTTCATCTGGAAATCAAAAACCACTGGGGCTTGCGATCTGCACAGCCGACGCGTGCGGAAGGACGAGCGAGCCGAAAGTTCTGCGCGGCGGGAAATATATCCGACACCACGCCAAGAAACTGCCAGGCGATTTGACAAAACTTTGGTTTTTTTTTTTATCACGGGCGAGACAGGCAAGAGTTTAGCTGTGCTTCGATGCAATTCTCACGCGAGACATTTGTCGGACAGGGACGTGTATGCGTGCGTGGTCGCCCGTACGCACACCTCAACTCACAACCGCCGTTCTTACATGCGTCGCCTACCTACCTGTCAATGTCTGACTGATATGAATTAGCGAGAGCGAGGAGTGTAAGTAAGGTTAAGGTTGGTGTGGGAACAGAGAGACGTGATGAACCGACATGCCGTGCAGGGGAGGACGAGGGATGCGCAAGAGGCTGCGTTTCTCCCTTCCCCCCGCATTGGTCGAGTCCCCGACTCTGCCGTCTGTCAGAAGCCGATTTGTTGTTGGCCTTTGAAAGATGTACCGGTATCCGTCGGTAGGTCAGGATATGTGGTGTCACTCCTGTCCTGTTCGGATATTGTCATCCCACCGGCCGGCCGTAACAGGCGCTCAGTGACGGATGGGCGACGGCCTAAACCGAAAGGACCACTCTAACTTCTCCGTAAACAACGGGGAAAGGAAAGAAAGAGGCGCACAAGCACGAGGTCCTCAGGTTGGTGTACCCGAGTCAACTTTTTGGGAAAGTTTGTTAACGGACGCTGAACAGCGTCGTTGATTCAGAATAGGTCAAGGGTCTAGGCCGTTCGAGCCAGCGAGCGTGGGAGAGAAAACGGGCTCTTCGAGCAGAAAAGGCGTGCGGATGTACGTGCTCCCGTGCCCGCATGTTGTTCTGCGGAAGGCGGATTGTCGGACTGTGTGCTCCCTTCGAACCGTCTGCCTTATCTGGCCTTGCATGTGCCGATCCAAGGTTGCAATGCAGGATGACTTTTGGGGGGTCATGAGGGGGGAAGAGTGGGAGAATATGGGGGAGCATTTTGGGTAGCACTGTGGCATGAGGCTGTGTTGAATGTAACAACAGCATTTCGAAACCATCGCCATAGCTATCTTGGACCATAAGGCCAGACGATCGAGGGGTTTGTTCCCTTAGAGAGAGCAGACTGACACATAACTGCTGATCCCCGCGCGAGACTCTCAGAGACACTCAGAGACAGAGAAAGCGGAATGCGGGACTCGGGAGGGGACAACTTGAAGTCTGCCGTTTGCAAGGGAGCTTGATCCTGGAGCTATCCTGAAAGGGGCATGTTGCATTGCTCGCTTCGCGATCCATGCTCTGCCTCTCTCGCCCGGCCCTAAGACAATCCCATCTCAAAGCTTGTTTTTGCGCCGCGTGTCTCCCGTGCCTCCCGCACATCTCTTTCTGACTCTCGATCTTCGACTCTGAAGTGTCAATGGTGGAAGATATCCCGTGCCTACTCTTCTCTTGGATCTTCCGTACAAGTTGTGTATTGTACTGGCGAAAGTCGTGCTACGTACGCAGAGGCGAAAGGAAAAAGGCTCGGCGCAGTGTCTCAGCGCCGTTGGAAACAACAAGAAAAGCCATTTCCGTTCAAATCACCTCATCTCCACAGAGAAGAAAAGTTACACACGCTGAACAGAATTTGGGTGCCTGGAATGTCACTGCAAGAAATGTCTCGGGGCAAGATGCCCTCTTCCCTCTCGCCTCGCTCTACCCCCGTTCCCGTCCCACCCCTCCTTTTCGTGATCCTATGAAGCGTGGCCGCCAAAGGCCTTTTTTCTTACATACATACATCAACTCCACAGGACATCGTTCCTCACGATGGGAAGGCCTGTCTGTGTTCCCCGGCAGAGTGCCGCGGGCCGCGAGTGGATGTGCTGGGGTGGGTGTGCAGAAGAATTGGAGCACTATCTCACACACACACATATACACACACGGATAGACGGGGAGAGGGGCATGGACATGGGCATGGCATGGCATGGCATGGCATACTGCGTAGACAGAACAGTCATGACAGAGAGAGAGAAACAAGCAGGATACTCAACTCGACAGCCAACAGCGAATGCAGCTCGCTTCTCACTTTCTTTCTCGTCTCGCGTCTTGATGTGCAGCTAAGCGGCGGCGCAAGGGCGAGGCTAAGCCGCATCCTGCATATAGTCTACTGCAAGACGGTTGGCTGTTGGCGAGCTGCATGGTGGATGGCAGGCTGGCAGCCAGAGATTCTAAGAGAGAGGGCGCTTCCTGCTCATCTATGATTGTTGCTTTTTTCACTCTCTTCGTCGTTCTTCCCCTTGAACCTCGTTTCTTCTTCTCAAGTTCACTTCCGGGAGAGGGCTTGGGCTGCATGAGCTCTTCTCGCTTCCTCTCCGAACTCCCTGTCTCTGATTCCGTCTGTCTCTCAGACTTCTCTACCCGTCGGCCCCTCACCCCCCTCACACACACCCCTACCCCCCCTTTATGATTCTGTCCTGGTGTATCCGTACCTGTCAGTGTGTCAACACAACCCGTCAAGCTCCATGTCGCGTTTTTCTATCGAGATGTGCTAGGGCCCCCCCGTGTCGATCCTTTGAAAGCTTGTGGCTGCCCATCCGTCGACGATTGATTTTAGTTCATCCTTCTTCTGCCGTTCAACATTCTTTCCTTCTCCTCGAACCGTGTCCGACTAATTCTTATTTCTCTTACTCTCGAAAGACCTTGTTTACCCCCTCGTAAGGTCATTGCGGATTCAACTTCCAAACGGTCGATAAACAAGCATAAATCCTTCTTTGTCGTTTTCCCCTTGTCCTACCTACCTGATCGAACACTCGCAAAACAAACTCATTCGCCCAGGGATCACTTTGGGGCTTGGGGGAACTCGAAAAACCACACTGCCACCTCTTCCCCTCTCGACCTCGTACCCAGTCCTCCTCATAACTCCCTCCAAACAGCGCCTCAATCACCTCCCGCCTCAAAAGAGGACACAACAGAAACACATACATACACAATGTGCCGCCTCGTGCTCTTCGCGGGCACCTGCACCCGCTGCAACGAATCCCTCACCTGGGCCGACCTCTCCCAGCAGCTCTCGTGCCTCGAGGCCAAGAACGCCGACAAGTTCGGCTCGTGTCGGCGTGGCGTCGACGTCGAGACACACGCCTTTGACCAGGAATGCGACGCCTGCGCCGGCGAGGACGAAGGCGTTGCCGGTATGGACTTTGGTGAGCAGGATTTTCAGCAGTATCATCATCAATATCAGCAGTATCAGCAATACCAACACCCGTCATCAGCAGCATACACAGCAGCAGGATCGTCGTCATCGGCGTCAATACCACAACCCGGCTCGAGCAAGAGGGGCCGGGACGAAGGGGAGGGAAGGAAGAAGAAGAAGGCGAGGACGTGAAAAGCTCGATGAAGCTTGCGATAATGATGGAGTTATGACACGGTTCGAACTTTGGGGGGGATGTTTGTCCATCTCTTCCTTTTCCCTCTCTCTCTCTACTCTCCTGGCGAGGCGTTTGGTGTTCGACAAGGAATACACACATAATGGCATTGGGGACTTCAGGACTCGGGATACCACCGGACGCGATGGTGTTGCGCGCACATGTGGGATTGGCATTGGCATCAATCGATTGGAACCACATCAGCAACATCACAGGCACATGACGCATACGACGACGATCAGGACAAAAGGGCAGGCAATAATGTTATTTTTGGGCGGGCACACTGGGCTTCAAGGTCACAGGTGTGTGTGGCAGGCCTGCGGCGGACTCTCCGCTGCATTCCTGAGGGAGAGGAGAGATACCCTAGTCTACCTTTTACCTACGTTAGTGGCGTGGCGATCGGGAGGGGCTCCTAGCGAGGGGATCCGCGCCCCTTGGCATGCGGGTGATGTACGACACGTCTCGCATATTCCTTGCGGGCATCGAGAGGTCACGATGGATTGCTCTATGACAAGAGAAGATTTTTACAGTTAATACAAAAGCGCAATCGATTTCGCAGCATGAGGCCTCGTTTCAATACCTCATCCTTTGTTCTGCTATTGAGGTTCTCATGGGGTGAGCCAGGGTTTCTTCCGCCAGTGCACGATCAGATGAGGTGCCATTAATGACTACATGATCCGACCTAAACTCATTGTTAGACACCAGTCGACCGTGGAACGAAGCCAAGTATCGTGATGAATCTGGGCGAACGATTGATATAGACATATATGGCACCTCTACCCTCCCGAGATGCCGCTTGTCAGCCTACAAGAAGCTTACACGAGAGAAGTTTTAGTCGTTCTAGATCTTATTCTGGTGCTAAATTCACTGGGGCATACTCAATCTACTTCTATTCTCAGAACGTGCTGTTGCCTCCGTCATAGTTGAGGAAGTCAAAGCCAAAGTCAGCATCCAACAGTGAAGGATCCAGTGGCTCCTCTCCTTCGACGATTCTCCAGTTCTGCGTATCCATGCCGGTCGCTTCCGACCGGGCAGAGTGAACTTCCTGCTGCGAATCATCGAGGGAAAGGTGTCCCGCTAAGTTATTATCCGTATTAAGAACGGTTTGCGGTACCGCTGCCACCTCTCCCTCGTCGTTACCAGGTGTCCGGGCCGTATTCGTTGAGGATTCGTCGAGAGCTGCTGGCGGCATCGGCAGCGGCGGCGGCGGCGGCGGCGGCGGCGGCGTCATTGATGGCGACTCTCGTCGATTCAAGTTTCGAGCTTCCTCTTGTCTCCTTTCGAAGTCTCGCCTCATTGTGAGCTCCAGATCATGGACAATATCTCGCAGCCCCGCTATAAGCTCCGATCCCACGTTCGCGAATTTCTCTACTACCTCCGCCTCGATACGCTTTCGGAGGAGTACCATGATCTCCCGTCGAGCATATTCTTTCCAGGACTCTTCCCGGCCGAGAGCCGTGATGTCGTGGTCGTAGTCTGCAGACGTTCCAAGTTAGCCTTGTCTACTTTTGTACCTTTATTGGACTATCACTTACAAGGTGTGGGTATTTCATCTTCCCTTACATCGAAGAGTATCCTGTATACTGCCTTCCACCTTTCTGCCTCTGTTTGCTTCGGCGAAGATTTCACCTTGAGCTGCCTCTTAGCGTCAGGGCCAAACTTGAACTCCCTGAGTAAATCTGATTCGTTGATGATGTCGCAAAGCTGATCGATGGATCCGACTCTGAGATGCGAGTCCAGTGCACTTTGTTTGTCAAACCAATTGCAACATCTGCTGCATTGGAACGGTGGTCTCTCATGGCGACGATAGAGGTGCTCTCTGGAAGTTATCAGTCATGAGTCAATGATATACCCAAGTCAACAGCAATACACTTACTTCAAGCGATGCACTGATTCCCACCCTGGACCTGAACACTCTTTCTTCCCCGCGTATGCTAGAGGATTCCACTTGAAGAACGGACACGCAAATAAGATGCCTCCCATTTCATCTCGGCAGCGTGGTACTTTGCGGGGCCTCTTCTTACCGCCGTCCTCTTCGTTATCGCTTTCGTCGCATTCATCTTTGTCACCGGACTTGCCCTGGTCCCTCCACCCCTCAATTCCTTTTTTTTCGTCGCATGATTTATGTCGCTTTCGAGGCATCTGGCTCCGTTCACGCATAGTTGACCCCCCGGCCTGCGACGGAACCTGGGTAGGTTCACCTGCCTCCTCTTCTTTGATGGCGATAGAATTGCCAGTGATATCCTCCAAGTGACTATCCAAGTCGTGGAGAAACGCATCCATAATTGTTTGGACGATCTGGCGCCTCTCCGCTTCCATTGCTCGCATTTGTTGTTGTTGTTCCTCCGCCGTCGAGTCGCTCGTAATATCCGACTCTCCGTATGGAGAACCTGAACTCTCACCCACAGCCACTTGACGCTCATTCTCATGCGGCGACCAAGTGCTTTGTGTCTTCGACCGATAATCAGGCGATTCATTATCAGGCGTCTGACAATCAGATGTTTGATTGCCCGAGAGCTCAAGAACATCGAAGTCGCTACCTTCTAAAGAGTCCTTTGAGGGATTGTACTGGAGAGTTTTGATCGATGATTGTCCAACTTGCTCCAAAAGTGGTGGAGATACATGTCCGGGCTTCTGTGGAGGCCAAGAGTCTTCAGTGTCGAGTTCGTTGGAACGTTCGATTTCGATGAATGATTGTGTCTGGCTGCGCAATAAAGTGCCAAATGCAATGTTCTTGGCGCCATTTGGCGATACGAAGATGTTTGGTGGTGGTTGAAGACTGGTGTAAGGCGGCCCATGACTTGGGTCAGCTAGCCACCTCTCCGTCGAGGTGTTCCAAGGAAAGTGTTGAGTAACCGATTTTGATAATCGCCTTTCTTGCCCGTCGTTGTTCTCAAAAAGATGCCGAATAGCCAAGCTGCCGATGTTATGGCGCCTTTTCCTTTTCGAAAGTGTATGCTGAGAGAAGTCGCTGAGTGACCTTTGAACCCAGAAATCAACGGCAGTCTTCCTACTCTCTGAGGATATAATCTGATAGTCGTTCGTCTTGGCGTTCGTCTTGTCGTTCGTCTTGTTGCTCGTCTCGAAACTTGGACCAAGGCTTTCAGACTTTTGAGCGAAAAGCTTTGCTGGAAGGAGCTCGAGGAGCTCCAGACACTCCGCTGGCTTGAAGACTCCGAAATTGAGACAACCGAAGGTTCTTCTGATGAGATTATCCTCACCGAGAAGCTCCTGACAGATATCATAGACTTGATGGATGAAGTATCTGCTTGCAGTGTTGGTATCATCGATCTGTGTAATACCTTCCCAAACGCCAAATAGTACCCTTATCAGCTGAGGGTGCTCATCCGTAATGACTCCATTGAGATCTTTCAACAGTTTTGTAAAAGATGAAGGTGAAAGAGTGTCATGACTGTCGTTATGGCGGAAATCATGGATGATTTGGTCGGCTTCGTTGGCCCATTTAAACAAGTGGCATCCCTTGGGGTTGGGGTTTGCGAACAGGGAGCCCGTCTTGACTAGTTCTTGAATATGTTGACCTAAAATTGAGGATAAATTTTCCTCATCGCGATTGTTGTCTTTGGAGGCTCCCCAAATTCCCAGTTTGTAGACGAGATGCCGCCTCCTTAACGGTCGGAAGGTTAGTATCTCTATTTGCTAATGTGACGGGGCAGCCTACCGCACAGAGACACCATGTAATGTCCTCAAGTAATCAATCAATTCATCTAGAGGATGCAACCTGTAGAGCTCGAGAATTGACTGCTTTTCATGCTCCAATATAGTGTCCACGCGCATCCTGAGTTCGCCCGGCGGGAGCGTCGCGGGTTCGACTGGGTTGATTTCCATGATTCGTCAGACTTTCTTTGAGCTGTAGAATATCCCGTCTTACAGCGATAATTCGATTGAAAAGGCTATGGAAAAAGGGAAGTGAAAAGTATCAAATGAAAAGCAATGGCCCTCTTATAGCCGTAGGATAACTAGACATCAAGCTAGAGTGCGCAGCTGCGCACATGGCTGTCTGCGAGAATGCTCCAATTCCTCACCACTCGTTAGCGTACTTCGCCAGCTGAACTGAGGGGCTGATTCCAGTCCCTGTTGGAACTGTCTCAAAATTTTGGTGGCACAGAGCCATGAGTAGTGAATGAGCTAGCTCCTTTGCCTGAGCGAACCAGTAAGCGCCAAGTTTGAGGCCGCCGCAGACCATGGACGTCATTGGGGCCATGGATAGGCCTCGCTATTTCTTGTCACTGCACTCAAATGTGTGCTTGCTTCTCTGACCAACGGAGCGACCAATCAATGGCCTCTTTGGAGAATGAAATGGTTTGCCATGCGTCTCGTGCGGTTCAAGGCTTGTGATAATTGGATTAGATGGCTGGCGATGTAGACCTGAAGACATAGAGTGGGCACGGAAGCGATAATGTTCAACGGCCAGGCAGCCTCAGATTACATGAGGGTATGAGGCAATGAAATGTACTCTGCGAAGCGGCTGGAGAAACTGTTCTCAATGATCTCTTCCATTAGGAAGGCGCAGCACAGGACCACAAGTGACAAAGTCACAAGAGTCTGCTCACCCATGACAACACAGCCAGCTTACGCGAACGCCATCACGTCGTAAATTTGAAAAGAGCAGCTGGCTGACAAAAGCCAGACCCTGATCCTGTCTTCAGATGCCCGCTTCCCCTTGTCCCGTTTTTTCAGCTATCATGATACCTTGAGGAGGACGGCGATTTTGGTACGGGCAAAGGTCAACTTAGAAGAGGTTTGAAGATGAACAAGACTGACTTTGAGGGTTAACTAGCTCCTCAAAACGGTCAATCCTCGTCTACCCACGCTCCTGGGACTCGCAAAGGCGGATTCTCGATCAGATCCCAAAACTCGCCGGCGTATTCCTCGGCTTCCAGACTCCAGACAAGGTTCCAATCTCCAGGTTCTGGCCCATAAGTGAAAGATACCAGTCGCAGGCCAGGTTCATATATCGTATTATTGTCCCAGGTCCTCAAACGTTCTTCTTGCAGCCGCGCCTCCCGCTTGAAATACTCCATCTCTCGACGGCCGTATTCTTCGAGGTCATGACCTGATATCTGCACGTCCTCCAGCCACCTTCGTAGAAATAGGGAGATTTTGCGTTTATATTCTGAGTGATCCCAAAAAGTCTTGTAAAGCGCGGAAATTAGTGGCGTGTAACAACGGGGTTCCTCCTGGGCGGCATCAACAGACATCTGCATGCTGAGCCTTTGAGAGGACACTCCTTGAACAATCCACCGCACAAGTTTTCTCCAGCTAGACTTCTCATCGAAGGCCATCTTCGTTGCGTAGCACGATACGAGGCTCTCTAGGGAGCTGTCGAACGATGCATCGAGAATCACAATGAATTCAGCGGGCTTGATACCTCCATCGTGCTGTACATCGTGTAGTAGGATCTTTGGGTCGACATGGTACCAGTCTAAATGCGCGTAACGTACTTTCAGCGGGAGTTGATAGTACGTGGTCGCCAGGCTTCTCGTCATATATTGGTGAGCTTCGTGGTCCTTCCATATAAAGCTAGAGATGGCAGATAAGTTCAAGGTGGTCTCGTCTGGGGTAAAATAATCTTCCAGGCAGTCATCGAGGGCGACGTGAACCCAAATTTTGAAGAGCTCCAACGTTTCATTCGATTTGCATATGCGTGCAAATGGAGCGAGACCCAAGGTTTGGCCATCCACGTCGTCCAAGCGTAAACCCATACCAAGCAAATGACGAATAATTTCGATTCTTTCCCAATTGACTGCAAACTGAGATTTAGTCAGCGTCATAGCCATGTGCTTCTTTATAAATACGCATACATGTAGCAGTGTCCATCCACCTTCGTCACGGTCGAACAACGATGCCCGATGCTCCTCAATTTCACGTAGCGCGAGTGTCCAGTAGTCATCCTCTATATGCTTGAATATGGAGGTACCGCTGTAAGGTCGGACTGTCCAAGCTCGTAGGCAGAACTTCCATCCAGCGTGCGCTCGGTACGTCTGAATATCCCAGAGTCTCGCTGACACCCACCAAGGTGGCTGTAACCGTGCCTGGTATACTGCGAAGTATTATTATAGCCCTTGCACTTCACAAACTTGCCTAGGCACCCACCTTGGACGTCGTGATACTTAGAGTGCGGAACAGTCCGACTGGTAAAGCCGCCGAAGAAGGAAGACTGTGCATTGTGGAGTGACTCCATTCTGGATGCTTTCCTAACGGAAGCTACACTTTCGAAGTTTGGCTCGTCTATCAGCCGCACTTGTCGGCTTGAGTAAGCCTTGACAGTGAATGCGGTCGTTTCCGGTGTCTTAACGCCACTCGTAATTGACTCGGTCCTATTAGTGATGGAGGCACTGGAAGCGTCGTTAGCAATGTCTACTTTCCGAGTAAATCGATGCGCTTACAATATCCTCGTATTTTGTGATAGCAACGCCATTTGCAGGGCGAACTGTAGCTTTTGCTGACAGCTCTGTATCAGGTCCTTTTTAAGCGTAACCCTGAGCTTCGTTATGCTCCTCCGTGACTTCTTCGCGGTAAGAATCTGCTGTTGTAAGTCTGTCGCCAGTATCTCCAACTCGTTCGCCACTTGCTGACAGCATCTTAGACTAGCATCTGAAGTGCCAATACTCGGCGTGCCCGCCTGACTAAGCTCCACATCCATCTCTGTGAGGATAGCATTAAGAATGTCAACCTGTTCGATGAGCTGGTTGATCTCGCGGGGCACGTCCTGGACTTCGTTCCAAAGCTTCTTGAGTTTGATTATGCTGGAACCAAGCTTGCCGGCAATCTCGACGACGGTGAAGGCGCTGACGACAACGCCGAAGGCTTCCGCCATTGTGGAGGTCGAACCTTTCCCTCAGTCACTGGTGATCTCTGTCGGTCTCAAAGTTTCAGGCCAGGGTCAAATGATTGATGGTCGTCAAGAAAGGCTCTGCTACAAATCAGAAGAACAGATAGCCAGGCGTAAGGGGCAGACCGAAGGGGAGTGGAGCGCTTTTCAACGCCCGAATTAAGCAGGCTGCGTGGCAAGTAAGCCCCAGCAGTGCCTCCCAAGCGTCAGGCTTTCCTGCAGGCTGAATGTGCTGCATGGAAAGAGCCAATTGAGACCCGACACCACATCATTCAAATTGTCAGACCAGCGCTACGTCTACCAATGAAAGTGAGCGCAAGGCGGGAAAGGACTGCTTCTTGATAGAATCGCATTGGCTTGCGACCATCAGTTCACGCCCATACTCCGATCAATCTTTCCTCACAGAACAATAGCCGCTGATACTACGAGAAGATCAGTAGTCGTACATCAAATCCAAACAAAGAGGACTTACTAGGTTCGGCCATGACTCTCAGGCAGCACGTGCATCGTAAGTTCACATCACTTCAATGAGATCTCTCAAAAGATAGGCTTTCGCACCCAGTTATGGCATGTTATAATTCTTCAAGAAAGTCTACGGTATGCCCACGCGTATCCCAATCTATACATGTGAAGACGAAGGAAAGGTATCATCTATGAAAGTGATAAGTGTTTCGACCAATGAAAGTAAGTACATCACCAGCCTACTGAATGGTTGGAGGCGGCGTTGGTTGCCGTTTCGGTCTTGCAGGTGCAACTTCCGGTGGCGGCGGTGCGGGCTTGCGTTGTACATAAGCCGGCTCCGGAACAGCCTTCAGTGATTCTGGCTTGGTCTTTGGAGCCTCCGAAGCAGCCTGCGGTGGCTCTGTTGCAGTCTTCACAGGTTCTGGAGTCTTGTCGGCAGTTTTTGAAGCGTTCTCGGGCGTTGGTTCTGACGGGGCATCAGCAGACTTCGTCGGCGGCGTCGGCGGCTCAACCTTCTTCTTAACCAAGTCCTCGTCCCACACATCCTTCACAAGGCCCCAATACCTCGACGAATCCAGCTTGGCATGCGCAACATGCTGACTCCCATCAAACCTCTCCTTGCGGACCTTGAACCCGACCTCGGCAGACTCATCCGCGTGCCTCTCCACATCACCCCAGTAAATCATCTCATCCTCTTTGCTGTACAAATACGCCCGCCGCCTCTCACTGCCCAAAAGCGCCTTTTGCCGCAGCGCCGCCCACATCTTGCCAAAGAACCCGACCCGCCCGAACGGGACGTGAAACAGCCAGAACCAGCCGATGAAGACATGAGCCAACGGCGCCAGGATCCGCGGCATCGAGGCCGAGATCGCGCGGTAGCTCCGCATCCAGTGAAATCCTCCGGGACAAGAGTCGTAGAGCGTCACGTGCGGCGGGAGCTCCAGACGGCCTGCGCGATCCGCATCGGCGTAGAGCTCGAGGAACTTTGCGAGGTTGGTGGCGCCACCGTTGGAGAAGACGTGGAAGAGGAGCTGCGGGGCCCGCTGGCCTGTCCCCGTCTCAGATGAGGCCGGGGGCGGGATGGAGTCTGCTAGAGAGCGGATCACGGGGACCGCCGGCTTGATTTGCCGCTTGGAAATGCGGTTGGAGAGGGTGTGGACGAAGGGGCACTTCACGAGAAGGATGCTTGCGGAAGGGTACATTGCCATGTAACGCGATGTGTACTTTGCAATGTGGACATCCTGGGCCGACATCCAGCTGAAGATGGCAACGAGTTTGGGTGAGTTCGGGTCCGGGACGGATGAGGGTGGATCGTAGAGGAACGTCGTGGGTGAGAGCTCTTGCATGGCTGGCAGGGGTCCGGCAGCGCCGGTGGGCTGGTTTGATGCCATGGTGAGTGTGGTTTGGGTTGTCGTGTGTGAGAAACTTTCGACAGCGACCGTTGCTTTTTGCGACCAACTATCCGATGAAGAATCCCGGGGAAGGGTTACAGTCAACGTTCAAGGTAAAGATACAGAAGGGAGACGAGGTG